AAAGCATCGCAGGGACCTGCAGCGGACATGTGCAGCAGCCCCTAGGTAATAATCAGTGCCATCTATAGGGACTTGCCAACTTATGAACTTCCTCTTTGTGGCTGTTTAGTCACAGTTTCATGCATTAGATCATTAAACATATTTCAATTTATAAGAACAAAGATAACCTGTGAGATATAAATGCAGTTTTTAAACAGCACCTTTTTTTGTTGGAAGAAAAGCTGCCAAACCAACCAGTGTGAAAACCTAATGGTCCCCCTTACATAATAACTGGTTGAGTTGTCCGCTAAGGCGACAGCCTAACCTGCATGAACTGCATGCATACGCATGCAGTTCATGCAGGTTTGTAATTTATGCAGCTAATATTGCCTAGTTGAACAGTCATGCATTTCGAGCCTTGCATCTAAACCTTGTTTAAAGTCAAATTTTTAACTAGGATGTTCCAAAAGCTTTAAGTCATTGGAGACTGACTTTCTAATAATAATAAATTGTATTAAAGTGCCTTTCAGGACGCCCAAGGACACTGTATAACAAATAATCAGTGTACATAATATCATACAGTATATACTGTATTAAAAACAGTGGAGGTAAGCAGTCTTGAACAGATGAGTTTATAGCCTTAATTTAAACAGAGCTAAAGTCAATATTACAAATATCTGGTGGGAGTGAACTTCAGAGTTTGGGAGCAGAGCTCCCACTCTGCTACCCACGGTGGGCAGCAGAATAAGCTAGGTGGATGGAAGAGGAAGATCTAAAGGTACGAGGGGGGAAAGCAATCTGAAGGAGAGTTGAGAGGCATGTGGGAGCAAGATTAGGGACGACCTTGAAAGCAAACAGGAGGATCTTGAACAGGATACTGAAGCTGGACAGGAGGTCAGTGAAACTCCTTTAGGAGTGGGGTGATGCGATGGAAAGTAAGGGTTTCGATAATTAAACGAGCTACTGAATTCTGGACCAACTGAATTTTATGAAGAGATTTATGAAGACCGAAAAGAGAGTTGCAGTAATCGATGCGGGAGGTGAGAAGGCTGTGGACCAGAACAGAAGCAGAGTGCGGGGAATAAACTAAGCAACTGCTGAATAACCTAAGGCCTTCAGCTTCAGGTCAAAACTCAATTAGCAGACATTCTCTTATAGCTATTTCCTAGTTGAGAGCAGAATTTATGCCAGCTGGAAAGTAGTTTAAATCCTAAAGCTGCAAAGCTTCCACAGGCCACACACCACCACCACTATGTTAAACAGCCGGTATGATGTTCTTCTTCTGAACGCTGTGATGGTTTTTACGACGGGTGTAACAAGATACACGCCTTTATGTCTTCTCAGTTCATTTAATATTTTCCCAAGACTTTTGATTATCAAGACCTTTTTGAAAAACACGTGACAGGCATCTGTGTTGCATTATGGTCAGTGGTGATGTTCAACTTGGAACCATCCCATTGCTGCGTTTTATGTTACCTCTCACCTCTTTTCCCTCAGGGCATACCTTGAGGGAGTCGAGGGGAGCTGAGTGTACAGCTCGGTCCGGCAGGGACAGTACATTCTGGTCAGACGGCTCTCTTTGGCCCTGTCCTCTTTGACTGCTCCACATCAGTCTGTCTCTTGACTGATCCTGAAACTCTGCTTCCCCCAGAAGAACTTCAGAATGAGTGTAGAGAAGAGAGGTCTGAGAATCTCTGATTTTTAGATTTACTCAGCCTGCTCCTTTTTGTCACTCTTGGAGTAATATTTGGAGGCCAGCAACCCTTGCAAAGAAAGCACCAAATTTCCCTTTCCTTATTTTTTTTTAGGAAATGGCATTTACAATAAAAGCTCCATAACATAATGAAAACAACAAATAATTCAAAAACTATAGCAAAGACGGAAATTGCTGCAAAAAGGCTTCCAACTGCTTTAGCATCAGAAGTAGTTGAAAACTGCATTTAATATTCAGTCAGATTATCTTCACCTCATAAATGTGAGACCCGTGAAACAGAAAAACTAATACTATTTTTTCCAAAACGCTACCTGTGCTGTTACATAAAAAATAAGTGCATTTTTTTTTAAGTATTCCAAGGACTAAAAAAGGCTTCCACAATATAAACACCACAAAGTCAACAGTTTATAATAAAAAGGATTGGGTTAGGATGAGATGCTCCCTTTATAAAATACCATTTTCATGGTATTTAGACCAAAATGGAAAACAAACATCTTCTAACTGCATTCTAGCAACATGGAACCAGATGTTATTCTTACTGTTCGTATTTTATTATTTAAGGTTCTGTGTTTTTCTTATTTAGCCTTCAAAAGTCAGCTTAATGCACATATAAATGAAACATTACCTTAGGCTCTACAGGAATATGACGACACTTCAAAACTAGACGTGTCTTAATATAACTTTTACATTTCAGATATGACACCAACTTTGCAGCTTTGAGTATTGGCCGATATGGATTATTTTATTGATCTGTTTCGATATTAACACCATTCATGCATGCTTTTATATTTATTTCATAGAGTATAATGTTAGAAAAGGCTTGTTCAAGAAACATTATGCAAACAATATGTATGAAAACGACAGACCCATGTGATATTAACCAATGTGTTACAGGAAATTTCAACAGAAACAGGGTGTTTCTATTAGGGCTGAACGATTTTGGAAAAATGCTAAATTGCCATTATTTTCAACCAAAGTTGCGATTTTATTTTGAGTTTCCTTTTCACTAACACCAAGCTTGCAGATGTTTCACCCCTGACTAGCGTTTTTTGAAAGCTTACTTGCCCAGAATCCATTGTTACAAGACTTTACTGTAACCGTTGTATGAAAAAAAAAAATGTTTACTTCTACTTGCATGCATGTATCTGCTGCTAGCTTAAACTTTCTCCATTTTTCTGTGAGGTGACAACCTACTTCAGTTGTTTCATCACCAACTAAAGACTGGAGAGAGAAATTCCTGTCTTACTCTTGTTAAATATAGTGGGATTAAAAAACAGTGCCTCTGTGATTTGAAAATGGCATTTTGCCAAATGCGATTACATTGCCAAAGCAGATAATTGCCCAGACCTCATTTCTATCAGGATGACAATATCAGAGATTTTAGAAGCAGTACAATTCAATATTGTTTTTTTTTATTAATATTGGACCAATTTTAGATTTTAATATCTGATCCAGACACCCCTGTTTAAAATATTTGTTTTTCTCTGGTACTATTTTTTTCTAATCCAGTAGAAAAACACTTGCCTCAACTGTGTCATGGCCTCTCCCATGTGGGTTTCACCCATATCATGACGTCTCCCTATTACTTCTGTCGTCACCCTATCAATTCGGCTCCTCTTTAGGAAGGCTGAACAAAGATTGAGACCTCTCTCAGCCCAAAAACACATGTTTAAGACATAGGCATTAGCTAAAAAGTAAAAAAGTTGATGTTATTCTGCAGGTTTGGTGCTTAAAAAAAGGCACCCTGTCTCAACACTGAGCAGAAATGATGACACTCTTCCTTATGTCTCCTGGACAAAGTGGGCGTGTTATTTTCTGTGCAGGCACAGCACCCATTACGTTGATTAATCGTTTTCATACTGACACACAGTATTGAACACGGTTATAGAATAAAGGCTTAATATAATGCTAATTACAGAGTACCAGGAGTAACCAGCTAATATTGCCTAGTTGAATAGTCATGCTATTGACCCTTGCAGCCAGCCAGTGTGCAGAAAGCTGCTCATCAGATGTGACTCTCCTGGCTTACCAATTAAAAGTTTTAAAACACAAAATCCTTTTTTATGAGAGCATGGAGAGAAAACTAAAGGGTGCCATGATTTTCTGCATTCTTTACAACCAAATATGCCTTTCCACCATGCAAGGAAAAATATAGCAGCCTTTACTTTTTAATCAGGTGACCAGCGGTGCGTTACGAAAATGCCCTCTGAGAACGTTTTTTTTTTTTTTTTTTTTTTTTTACATAAAAAAAGATGCATGGAATGCCCTCCATCTAAAATATATTAAATTACAAACATAAACTTGAACAGTCATCATCTTGGTTTATGCTAACAGGACCTATGGGACTAAAAAAAAATCTAGTTTTGCATGATTATTTTAGCTAGATGTGTGTATATAAGAACCACTCAACCTTAAATAAAACAGATTTCCATTAATAATAAGTGCTTGAGGGAAGATGCATAATAAATACATAGTGAAGCACCTTCTCTGTGATCTAATTACAGGAAAATGTTGGGAACTGGGACAAAAATTTTGCGTTTCAAACCTTTAAAACTCTGTATTGTCTGTATTTTTTTTTCTCATACCCCATCCACACTGCTTGACTGCCTTCATTACCACACACACAGACACACACACAGGGGCACAGATGTTACCCTATGGATATCCTATATCCGCCATGGGTCAGAAAGGTCACAACAACTTGTAAGAAACATAAAGGGGAGTTAATTCAAAGCCCTTGACCTTTGCCCTGCAGTTAACATGTTCTCCATCACTTTCTCTGACCTCATGCAAAACTATGTGTGTCTTCTAGTCTGTTTGTACATGCCTTTATGAGTCAAATAAAGTGTCTTCTTGCAGTATTTTATGCAAACATGCAGCTCCCACGTGCTGCATGTGGAAACTGAAAAAGTATCTAGATCAGAATGCTGTTTTTTATTCTAATTACTAGGCATCAAGTACCAGCATCAATCACTGCCAAATCAGAGAGTTTACTACTTTTGGGAGGTTAGAGGTATCCTGTTAGCAAGTAGCAGGCTAAAGCTAAAGCTAACACTGGCCAGAAGAAAGAAGCTGTTTCTGACATAAAAGTAGCAAACATGTCGTTAAACGCATAAAATAAAATTGGCTTCATTGTTTTAAGACGGTTGTAGCTGCAAGTAAAAGATGAGAGCACCGATACTGGAGGACGGTCTAAGAAGCAGACCGATGTGGCTACGGTGTAGCCTCCTTCCCCCTCCCCTGAGCTCAAACTTCAGAGACCACTCATCATTTCTAAACACATTAGTTATTCATTCATTATTCTTACATGGAATTCAAGCAGAGTCTCGCCGGAAGACACCTCGGAGGATGAATCCCGCCAGCAGCGGGGAAGGAGGGCAGTCCGGGGCGGGTAGAAAGCAGTCGGTGCCCCCGCCGCGTGCCAGCCTCAATGCCCGGTTAGGATTTGGGAGCGCTGGGTTTGTTGGCCCGGGTCGGTATTCAGCGGGAGGAGGTGGGCGCAGCAGCGGAGAATGGATTCAACATTTTTGCTGTTTTTTTTTTTATATGTGTGTGTGTGTGTCTTTATTTTAAACGTTCCAACTTCACCGTTTCTTTAGTCGCATGAGGGGCAGGGGGACGTTAAAAAAATCATCCCAAACCGTAAAAAAATGGGGGTTCTCTCCCCGCCTCTCTGTGCCGGCAGCACTGCGCGACGTCCTCCGTCTGCAGCCGACTGCGTCCGGAGAGTCTGATCCAAGATGTCGCTGATGATCTCGGCTTCTTCTTCTTCTTCTTCTTATGGGGTTTTATGGCGGTTGGCAGACTTGTGAATTGTGCATTACCGCCACCAACTGATATGGAGTAAAGCAAGAAAACAGAAAACGATTCACCCCCCCCCCCCCCCCCCAAAAAAAAAAAAAAAAAAAAAAAAAAAAAAAAAAAAAAAAAAAAAAAAAAAAACCTGTGTAACTTAAACCAACATAATACTAAATCACATTTGCCCATATAATTTTTAATTTACTCTAGGTCATCTTAACTCTGCCAGTTTCTGATGGTCCCATCGGTCCTCCCATCATACTTCCAACCATCTCCCAGTTCAAATCTTTAATGTCCAGATATTTTTCTGCAGCCTTCACTATTATTTTGATTTTTTCCGTTTTTTTTGTTGTCTGTGCAGTACAATTAATTACTTCTACCATGAAAAGAACAAAATTTGTCTTTTTAACAATAAGTGAGTCTTCATCAATTTTTTGATTCTCTAGAGGTTTGGAATTTGCCGTGTGTTGAACTGTAGGTTTGGGTTTTTCTGACTGAGATGGGATCCTTTTTGCAGCTTCAGCGTAGGTTATTCCGAGCTCAAATTTCATTTTTTTAATTTCCTCAGACCTTTTGCTTGCTTCACAGCCGCGATAGGCAGCAGTATGTTCTCCACCACAATTACAGCATTTTATTTTAGCTTCTTTTCCACATTTTCCGTACTCATGTTCTCCTGCACACCTTCCACACCTCTGTTTCCCTTTACAAACTGCTGCAATGTGACCGAATTTTTGGCATTTGAAACATCTCAATGGTGGAGGATTGTAGATTTTGACATTATAGCTTATGTAACCGATGAATACTTTGCTTGGTAATTGCTCTTCCTCAAATTTAATTAGCACTGATAAACTGTCAGATCTTTCTCCGTTTCTTGTTGTTTTTAACCGTTTTACTTCTTTTACTTTTGCACCGCTTATGTTTTCCAGAATCTCTTTTTCAGAAATTTTTAGAGGAACTCCTCCAATGACTCCCCTGCTGATCTTTTTGTTCTCCATTAGGCTGCACTGAACTCTTATCCCGTCAATTTTGTTGATCCGTATTGCTTTGCCTTGCTGGGCGCTGTCTCTGCAGTTAATTAGCAGGTCTCCACTGTACAGAATTCTGGCACCTCTGACTTCTCCGACAAGTTTATTGATGGTTTTTGTTAAGTGAACCGGATTCCAATTTGTAAAAGAGTCTGCCTGATTAACGACTTTGAATATGACTTTGAATTCATTTTGTTGTGCTGTGGAATGTATGGAATGATCATCACTGGATTGTTCTGAACTAGATTCCCCTTGAACTGATCTCTGTTTTTTCCGCTTTTTCTCATTTTTTGATGTTGCTATCTTCCAACCTTCATTGTCACTATTTCCCTCTTCCATCCCACAAGAATCGCTTCCTGTTTCCTCACTACTCACGGCCCAAGACATTTCTCCATAAGCAGCTTCAAAACACGCGCCATGCACCAAACGACCATCCACATGCCAAAGGGGTGTGACTCTTCTTCGACCGATCTCGGCTTCAATTCAATTATTCAGAAGAAGCCATGTCTGCCAAACGCAGAAGCGATACTGGGCACAACTTCAAATTGCCAGACTCTTTTTTTCTTCCTATCTTCTTTTTTCCCCTTCTCCGTTTTTTTAATTTTTTTTTTATTTTACCGGGGAGGAGTTTCTAGCGGCTGATCTTGGCACTCCATCTTTAACCGACATCGACAGGTCATCCCAGGACACAACTGTGGGCGAGACAGAGGGATGGATCCGCGGCATGGCGAGATGAGAGCGGAGCATACAGGAGAGGAATGTATAAACGGGGACTGGCTTAGAAAAAAAAATACCAAAATAAAATAAACAAAAATCTTAGCCGGCTTTATTACTGAACCCTGTGATTTTAGGCGATTAGAAGTGGTTTTGCACACGAGGACCAACGGGGACGGGGCTGCTCTCGAGGAAGTTCAGGAATGCGAAAGAAATTGGATCTGTGGGGGGGATAAACCAGGGGCCCCTCCAGAAATGTTCCCAGGTGACGAATGGGATGTCATCAGTAATAAAAAGGATTTATCTTCTTAAAAAAAATAAATTTTAATAAAAATATATAAAATACCAAAAGAATTCTCGCTATAACTAAAAAAACTTATTAAAAAATACGTTTTTTTATTCATTAAATTAATGTATACAAAAAAAGTTTAAACTTGTTCAAGTTAACAGCTGTTAGTTATGAGATAATTAATATAATTTAACTTTATTCATCTCACACTATAGAAAGTTCCCTCTGCATTTAACCCATCCCCTTTGGGAGCAGTGGGCTGCCAGGAACAGGGGCGGAACTAGATGGGGGGCCGGGGGTGGCCATGGGTACCCTTAGTCATGATGATGACTAAGGGTACCCATGGCTAGGTACCCTATGTTTCTTTGTAAATCATCTAGGAGTCTTCAGTGAAATCATAGATAAATAACAATTAAAAAAAACGTATTAATCAATTTATGTAGATATTAGTACTTGTAAATATCAGTTTTATGCAGAATGATTACTGATAAAAGTAGGTAAGTTATGACAATGGAAAAGATGTTGACCCAAAACTCAAACCTGAAAGAATTTTATCCACTATACCTTTTATCTAGAAAGCACGGATATTTTAATATATTCATCTATTTATTAGCAAAGGCTGTGGGAAAGTATAGTTTGACTTTATTTTTAAAAAATATGGATGTTTTCCTGATTAATTGTCCTGTTGGAACAGTGTAGATTGTAGATTTAGGAAAAACTGCTGTATATGATTTTAAATCCTGTTATCACAAATATTACTTTTATCTTTTCTTGTAACCAAACTGAAGTCAAATGTGCTTGGGAGGCAAGCAGAGGTAACGGTCAAACTCAGATGGAGAGAGATATACAAAGCATTAGGACAGATATGGAAACAAATATGCAGAAAAACAAGAGATTTTCATTCATTTGTTTAAATAGGCTGGGGAGATATTTTTCCTAGCAAATAGAGCTTTTAAAACAGACTGTAAAAGCCCACGTAAAAAAAGTAAATGCTGAAAATATATAGTTTAAATACAAACTGGGTTCCTTCAATATGTTCATTCTGTTTTACACTGCTTGTAGAAAGCTGTTCAGGTTAGACTTCAATAATTAGCTATATTCAAATAACTTTTAGCTAACAGTTGTATCAGCTACCTGTTTTTTTTATGACATTAATATTAAATAATATTATCTTTTGTTTACTTTATTTAGTTTATTTGTGAGTAAGCCTGCCATCTGACTCTTGGCTCCCATCCTTGCCCAGTAGAACAGCTCCCCTGATCAAATAAAAGGCTTTTGGTAAAACAGAACAGTAAAAAGTCCTAAGTAGTATATAAAATAATTAAATTTCCTATGCAACTCATTTCTTTCCACTTGATTGGGTTTAAATATGAATATCCTAGTTTTTGCCAACCTGAGCAGGTGTGGAAATCAGAGTAGATGTTAACTTACAATAGATGTCCATTGACCAAATAATTATGATTATAATGGTTTGGTTGGTGTGGTTTCAGAGGGGCGTGAAGGAAGCCATCTATGTTAAGAAAGAAAATCCAACCTTAAACAGAGGGGGTGTACTCAGGTTTCAGTTTTCAAAAAGCTACAATGCGGCAATAGAATTGATTCCTTCCTGCTATCATCGCAACCCCCCTCCCCACACAGGGCGCCAGAACATCTCGCCTGTTCAGCCAGGCCAACAATTCCCCCCAACGACCCCCCTTTCAGAGGCATAGACCAATATTGCAAGTAACAAAGAACCCAAACTCCCCATTCATAAGGGGCGGGTCCAATTTTCTGAATGGATGTTTGCATGTTTTCTACGTCAAAACAAGGCTTATATTTGGTCCACTCTATAAAACCTCAAACTCAACGCTATTTCTGACATTTTGAATTGAAAAAGCTTTCTGGATGGGAAGTGAAACGTCTTCAAACTTTGAAACAAAGTCCAGTGGATTTTTTTTTAAACGTTTTGGGGAATTATGATTATACATTTTGCAACTAAACCTTAAACATATCAGTCTTCATCTGGGGACAAAGAGAGACAACATTCAAAAACAACTCTTAAAAGGCAAAGAATGCAAATACAGTGAAATCCACTTATAGTGATCACATTGGTCCAGAGCCAATTTGAACACTATAAGCGGTTGATTACTTTATCCGAATTTACCGTTATTTCACTTATTTTTTATGCAGAATATCATCTAAATGCCATTTATATTTTGTTTTCAATGAGGAAAATGAAATGTAACGGATAGCTTCCACATTTACTGAATTATATTACAGTACCATGCAACTTTAATTACAGTATACTACACTGTGTGCAGACATAACTCTGGTAGCCTGGTGCATTTTTTTAAACAAGTCTGAAGTTTGAAACAAACAGTTTCATTGAACAACATAGAGGAAAACTGCATAGGCTACAGAAAATTAAAGCTAAATCACTTCTCATATTTATCCATGGTTCCCTGGATCACAGTTTTCTCCAACACATAGTTCACTTCTTTTTCAAAACGATGTAAAAGCTCAAAGTTTTTGAAACCAACATGCAGGAGACCAGTCTTTAAAATACAAACTGCATTCCTCATCTCAGCTCTGGATGGGACAACAGTCTCATCTTCATCCTCCTCCCCCTCCCCGCTGCACGCAGCACTGGTACCCTCACCAAAGCGCTCTTATATCCCCACGATGATGTCCTCATCCGTCATGGCCTCTGACACCGGAGTGCTGTCATCACTTTCGATCCACTTAGTAATCATTTTTGAAAATGTTTATATTCACAAAATGGCCCAAAATGAACACTATAAGCAGATTACTTGATTACTATAAACAGCATTTGTACTATAAACACCTTTTGAAAACTATAAGCGCTTGATTACTATATCCGTGACCACTATAAACGGATTC